TGCTTCTCTGGAAGCTCATAAACTGGATATTATGATCGAAAAGTGCCACTTCGATATCAACATTCCGCCATCATCCTATCTCGAAGACAATATGGAATTAAAATAAAATGCCTCCCGTTCCCCCTCTCCCCCACCCTTCCCTTAACTGTGTGCGTTCAGAGCGAGGTTGGGTGACCCAAGGTTTTGCTCTGTAAATGAGGGATGATGGAACGTTCGTTATTGTATTCGAGGATGAGCCAAGGTAACGCTTAGAAACGTGGATCCATTCGGTTTAACTGAATGTATGCCTGGTTCCAGGAGCGAAGACAGCAGTATACTACTATCTTCAAATATCTCGAGAGTGAATGCTTTCGAAAATCTTCACGGCACGGATCGTATGCAAAATGCTGGTAGGAGTAACGGGGAAAATTTGAAAATTAGAACCCGAAACCGATCCACCGTAATTCATGCGGCCCTGGGAACTGCAAGCCATGCTATGTAATCTGTACCGAAAACCAAACGGCGGAGAAAATGGGAGGTTAGCCGCTCATCACCGAGGATCAGTGGATACACAATTGCTATTACCTCATTTTTTGGGGGTAAAGGCGCACCTGTGTATTGGGCGTTCCGCCTACTTGAACTTCTTGCTTTCTTTTTTGATTATTCTTTGTTTATTCTTATCTATAGCAATGATGTATGCTGGATAGGAAGACCCGGAAACCAATGAAAATGTAAGAATATGCAAAAAGAGACAAAAAAGCTGTTATTAAGTCCAGGAACTTTTCGCTTTTGCTGTAACGACTTTGCAAATACCGTTGAGGACACAAAGGTTCCGAGAGGATTCAATGAATCACCCGCAGTGTTTATACCATTGGTTTTCTTCCCAAGTCAATCACTATTGGCAGAGCAGGCAGCCTTAGGCGAGCTCATTCCACGCCTCCCGACACCGCCCTGACTGATTGCAACATTATCGACAATAAATGCAAAGTTTTGGGATGATCTGAGCAGCAGTGGCCGTGAAAGGCTCGCTCCAAGACCCTTTTGGGGGTCGCTTGAAGTAGCGATGTGACGACCCTTGGGGGTCGTCAAATCGTTACTTCAAGGATGAGCGCCTAGTCTTGCGCGCTGCGGATGAAGTGGCGTGGTAGGCGGCAGAATTCAACGCGCCTCAAGACCGTTTTCCACTGACTGTTGTCTCATACAAGGGAAGGATACCAACTCGTCCATGGCCATTCAGAATGAGATGTATACTCCTAGAAGCGTCTCGGACGCTGATATCAGATCTGACTTCCAAATCTGCTAAACGATTCTGGGTGAGAGTTACGGACCTTTTTTGCTACCGTGCTTAACCATTGCGGTGGGCCCCCTGCCCATGCTTTGCGCTTGTGAACCCCTCGTGACAAGCCGTCGCCGTGGCTCGATGGCGCAGCAGGTAAGTGGATGGACTCATAGTTGTGGGACGGAGGTTCGGATCCTTGATGCATTTCCTAGTTTTGCTTTTTCTTGAAACGTATGCTAAACACTTGGGAAGTAGTTTTGCGTACCTGTCCGACCACCAAGACCCCTCCCTGCTCTTTATTGAGCCCCGCAAACGATTTTCGTGGAAAATTACACTTTACCTAACTCGTTCAAGCAAGGGACCAAATACACATGCATGTTAGACGCTTCGTCATCTGGTAGAGGACAGACTTGACGCCGCGCCAAACCCATCCCGCCTGACACGCCCCTTCACCGGGGTCGAGCATGAAAAACTCCCTCAGTGTTTCTTCACAACTCTTCAGAGAACTTTGCGATAATCACGTCTGATTAAAATAGCTGATAGATTTATACTCTGCTATAAGCTTCACTACTACAAAGTCTCCACAAACAAATTTTTCGCGTGAGCTGGTAAACAGAGAACACGCGTAAATGCCAAAGGCGGAAGGAAATCACATTTGATTTGTGAAACGTGGCGTTGCATAGCATTGCACACATAGGACATTTGGAAAATAAACAAACATCATAAAATTTGAAACAAAGAAAAATGAAATAATACAAAGGTGAAAGGGTCAGGAGAAAATCACACACTACAAAATGGTGATCGGATTAGAGAAGGTGGAGGGGCTTGATAAAGCATTTCAGTATGAGGGAGAAAAGTTGATGAAGTATTTCATCGAATTTCGGTGTGAATCGCCTGGAAGGACCAGATCAAGATCAGAAACCAAAGAACAACACAAGCACAGTGTAAAAATGACCATGAAACGAGACTATTGATGTTTTGTTGACCACCGAGGTTAACGAGCTCTCTATATAATAGCTCTAGGTTTTTCCTTCAACTACAGCATGTGTACACGTGAACGACGAAATGAACGACGACTATATGTGAGAGGCTCTGCAGGCGACAGATTACTTTACATCAATTCCAAAGTTCCAAGCATCGCAACACGAAGTAGGAAAAAACACTCCTCAACTATCCAATTTTCCCAGGCGCCGTAATCGCACTGAAATTCATAGCATTAAGGTGACAAAAAAACCATCAAAGTTTATTCAAAAAGAATTGCCGTTACCATTAAATCATCAAGGGAAAAACACACACACATATTGGTGACGGCTTCCGGTGATAGAAACGAAAGTGGTATTTAAGGCAAGTGGCACGATAAATCCCCAAGACGTGTAGGAAATACGCGTAGCACGACAGAACGGCACCCCTGGCAGGCGCTGCGTGGCGCCTTTCTCGGAAAGTTTTTTTCCCTATCAAGTTGCAACAGTCCGACCCGGACGCGCGCCGCGCCTACCCGTCCACAAATATCCGACCGATCTTGATGCTCGTATGGCTCCATTTACAAAGTATAATATGAAGCGAAGGATTGATATGAAGCGGCTGCGGTGCTGCATGGATATACAAGGGGGGGGGACAAAAAAGTCACTTTTCTTTATTGATCCGAGGCGCTACAAGTTACTTTATTCGATCGGACATTTTCACCACCATATTGAAGAGCATATTAAATACTATCATGACACTCCGCCACAGCCTTCTGGAGCGCCATCGAGAGATTCTGGCACGCGACCGCGATGTGGTGCCTGAGATCAGCGATAGTCGATTTCTCCGCCACCGTAGACCACCTGAACTCCGCCCGAACCGGGTAATTGAGGGGATTCAGGTCAGGTGACCTACTTGGATATTCCATCTTCTTTAGGTACTCAGCCCCCTTCCATTCCAAGTAGGCGAGAGTTTCTCCAACGCCCTTCGATTCCATGTGGTGGCACCCAATGCTGTAGCAGTACAAAGTTTCCAAGAAGGTACGGGCGACGACATGTGAGGAGGATATTCTTCACGAGTTGCTCGATGTAACCGCCAGCGCTCACCTTCAGTCCGGGGTCCACGAAGAAAATATTGGTCTTTCCATTCCAGGTACGTCCGGTCCATACCATCAACCCGCGCCTTGGCGACTGTGGTGAAGATGATGTCCTAGACCGTGGCGACGTTGTCGGAGCTGCTCGATGTTGGAGGTCTTCCAGATCAAGAGTGCTGTCTCCAGGTATCTGTCCACTTCAAGAAGATTCGCAGCTGTTTGGAGGTGACGTGAATTCCATAGGCCTTTTCCAGTCAGGCTGCGATTGGAGATGACTTCTTTGGTGTACATGAAGGTGATGGGCGAGAGCCAGCTCCTGCTTATCGAGGAACATCTTGGGTATCTTCCGCCCTGGTACTCGTATCCACGTCCTCTGTCTGGGCAGCGAAAACTTTGCTGATATGTGACTCGGTCGAAGTGACTTTCCCCCTGCATTTGTACATACATGCAGCGGTGCCTACCGAGGCGGTTATTGGCACGATGCCAACGAGAAATTCGTCCGGAATCGCTTCCTTAACCCATGGCGTACAGCGTGCTGCACATGGTGAAACACGCTTCGTTTTAACTTATTTAATATTGTTAGATGATAAAAAAGGGCCGGAATACTTCTGAAGTGTTCTGGGACAAAATATGTGCGGGAGAAACTGCGGGGTTGAATAAGAGCTAAGTTACTGCCTTTTCCGAGAAATACCTAAACCATTATATTCTTTGTTTAATTCCCATTTAAGAAGGAAACCGAAATAATATTAACAGTTATAACACGATTGAAACTTCGTAAAATTGTAAGAGTGAACAGTTTTGAAGCACATTGCGTCACTTTTTCAACTCTTCTTAATTTTATCAAGCTTTTTGGCTAGTTTCGCATTTTTTCGGCTCATCACTTTTATCACGTAACAATATTGAATCCCGTTTAGCATACGTCTACATATAAAAGTGATGCATAATACGATGTGTGTGCAATATTTTTATATTATATGTATAAGATAAAATCTTGTGTTTATACTCAGCGCGCCACAAGTCGCGTCGATAAAACGGCGTCGGCCACAGGAGCTTATTAGCGCAAAAATGCCGCGGTACGCAATGGGTTTATCGTGTAGAACAGTGGCTTTTTTACAGCTTTTTGGCTGCTTCATGTCGCTTTTCCGCCATTTTCCTCACTATATAGCACCCCTGCTACCCTTTCGCCCGAGTACCATATTCTCTTATGCCTTTGAAGGCAAGAAAGCCTGGTCAAGACTTCAGCCGTAGCCCCAGGGTTCTGATACCCGTAGTTCGCAGGGACAATACCATCTAGGGCTTTGTGTCGATGATGCAAGTCACCAAAAGGATAAAGAAACCCGAAAGCCAGTAAATCCAATAAGAGTAGCCGAGAGCGCTGAAAGTGACTAGTGCGTAACACCGATTTGTTTCCGCATATCTACACCATCCAATTTGATAATAATTAAAAATACAGTACAGCAGTTATGAAACAAACTGTAAGAAAAGTGGAGTAACCAGCTGTCAACTTCCTTCTAGTAACACCTCAGCAACTGCATGGAACAATGGAATAACCCACAATTACCCAAATTACTAGGCTCAAAACTGACTTATAACAAAAATGTCGAACACTTGTCGAAAAATATACGCTGATTTTTGTATATAAGCGACCTTTCCTCCGAGTACCGCGGTTGTTTCACAAGAAAAAAAAGCTCAGCTTTGGCCTCGGCAGGCGTTCATACGCTCTTGTAGGTAAACGCGGCTTTTGCCGCAACATACAGAGAATGGTAAAGTCTCACATCGTTCATAGTTCTTCTCCAAAGCGTCCGACACACGATGACGTGCCTCCATCGATTGAAATGCTATACCAACTCGTAGAAGTGATTCGTTCTCTTCTACTGATGACGTCATATCCATTTCCACTTGATTGCCCAACACTGATTGGCGCTGAAATCATAATTTCATCGTTAAAATTCTAGAAATACACAGCAAATTAGGCGCTAAAATTCGTTTGTAAACTATGTCGAATCCACCACGAACTAAGACTGGTGTAGTAGAACTAGGATGAGACTATGAGTCGCATTTGTTTTGGCTGTATCGACTAGCACGCCCCCGTCCTTATGCATGCGCCTGAATACGTCGGGTAGTTCATAGCAAACAGGAAGACCCTCTGAAAGACTCAGGGAGCAACCGATTGCCTTCATTAACTCACCACGATGCCTTTGCAAAAAGTGCATCATGATAACGAATGGTACGCAGGGAAACGAATCAATGGAAGCTCTGGGGCCCACTTGACTGCAATAGGAACTCTGTTTTTCTCTCACAGTCGATTTATAACTGTTCACACTTTGCGTGATACATTACATAGACTTGGTACTGTCCAAGAGATTGTTTTAAGTAGGTTATAAACGCTACTTTCTCGCTAGATTTACATTGAGCATAAGGGATGGGGTCTCCGCCGTTGAGCAACCCCAATTTTTCGGGAGCGGCCCGAACTTTGCATCCGTACAGACTCCTAGCGGCTAAACGAGTGCTATATGGTCTATGCGATGGCCAGTGGGGCCAGCCGATTTACAAGCCAGCGAAGCTATTCTGCTAAGTGAATCCGACTTAAATTTACCGTTCCCGGACGACCGAAGGCTTGGTTGGCCTGGGCGGAAACCAATCCGGGATTCGACCCCCGACCCGTGCCCTTGATAAGCGCGCCACTTGCTGCTACATCACCTCTGCCTAGGCTCACATAACAAACACTAATGATCGATGTGTGTTGACTTGCTATCATGAGGTGTCTGCAGTTGGATGTACTTACAACAATACCATAAGTACAGTGTGAGCATAATAAAGCCCACTAGTAGATACCCCCATCGTGAATCCGCGATCGTCGCTGATAAAAGCTGATTATCAGTTGCACACAGCTCAAGGCACTGATTGTGAGTGACGAAATTTGGGGGGGGGGGACCTTATGGTGAGTGGTGCTCCTGCCGACTTTTGAAAGACAGACCAGACGGAGACCATCTGCTTAGCAACGTGAACTTTACGACCGTTTCTTTTGTTTTACCTCTGACACCAGACACATGACCGAGGAAAGTGCTTGAGCACTAAAACAAAGTTCAAACGAGGGAAGAAGTGAACGAATCGTGAAAATCAACCTTAATGATGGCAGCTTCAGAGATCCAAGGAAAAGACACAAACTTGCGCGAATTGTCGAGTTAGGTTGGAGTGATTTTAGTTACACACTGATCCGTTGGAATGCAAAACCCACCGCAATGAAATTCCCCAAAAAACTATTTCGAAAACGGAATTTCACTGTAGAGGAAAAACCACAGCGCAACACACGCATGACCCTTGATACTCGCTTAACGCTCAAACTCCGAAACATCACAAGAAGTTCCGTAAAAAATTACTTAGCCTGCATGAAATCTTACTATATATTGAAGAACAAAATCAGAATAAGATTCTCGACAAACCTGGTTTTCAGCTTTGAACTCAGTCAGACACTGTTGAACGAGGGTGGCTCGGAGAAGTTTTGCCAGCATTTCGGGACTGATGAAATTGGATTCTATGTTCAATACTTTCAGTGATGTAGACGTCTCGAGAAGTTTGATCAAGCCCTGAAAAATATCTTTTCAAAAAACAACTCTGATCATTGGAAGAACAGCGAACGTAAAAACGCGCTGAAACTGCAGGAATGAGATTCCCTTTCTTTCAAGAACCGGGTTCAAATAATGCGACGCTTGCTCTACATTGAGGAAAGAAGCTCACAATTAGAATTACAAGTGCCCTTACTATACGATTCCCTCTACCCATTTCAATAGGCCATTCACTGTTGCAAGCTGTACTAAGCCTATGGAGTAGGTCTGAAAAACGGTGTAGCTAGCTCACTCAAGTAAACTGATCTTTCAGCGCCGTAGATGAACCGGTCCACGGTTGCTATCGTGCCATTTTTTCTTCGCTGAGAAGTGCAAGGGAACGGGGTTGTAGGGTGTAGAGGTGCCCAGATGCCGTTTCCATACTCCGCGCGCGCTGGTGCACTGCCAGCCACGCGCCTGATTATGACTAAATGCGTTTTCTGTTTGCACCCTCTCGCTTGTAGTTGTTTCCAATAGCTCAGTGCGTGTTTAGCAGCAGAGCCTCAGTATCGACACAGGCTGCACCTTGAGGATAACGAGGGCGAAGTACGAAAACTGGGCAACGGGCATCATTACACTCCAGTCCTGTTCCCGTACGTTAGGGCGGAGAAAACTGCACACCAGTGCAGCTGCGGAGCCATTCACCTCGCTTATGGGATCGACAGTCCTTGGGGTGGGTGTACAGTGTGTCAAAAGTGTAGGCTAAAAGCAAAAGGTCACTGAAAACGCTCCGGAGACACCCCAGTTCTTTTGAGCATTGCAGAAGTTGACCAGCGTACGAATCATATTTCTGAACGTGCTAGCTTTACGACAACAAACGATGACGCAGTCGAAAGTATAGTCGCAAGAAGCCTAGTCAAGAACTTGCTTTGTTCAGCTCATGTTGCGCTCAGTGCTGCTGCTCCTCTTAGGTAGACCGAAATGCAAACAAACAAAATTCACCAACAAAAGTAGGCAAGTGTACGGGCTGAGCCAAAAAACTTTTTTTCCCTCGACTTTCGAAGCGAAATAAGTTACAATCTATTAAATTCTTATCGGGCATTTCCACCATCAAGTTCAACAATATGTTGTACACTATCACGAAACTCAGCACAGCCTCCTGGACGGAAGAGATTCATTCTGCCACGTGACCGTGACTCAGTGTTGAGTTAATCGAGGTTGGATTTTTGCGCCACTGTAGACCACCCTGTTGAGCTCCTCCCGAACCCGGTAATCGAGGGGTTTAGGTCAGGAGACACTTGGATATTCCGTCTTCTTCAGGTACTCAACGCTCTTCGATTCCAAGTAGGCGAGAGTTTTTCGATTCCATGTGCTGGCACCCAGTCCTGTAGCAGTACGAAGTTTCCAAGATGGTGCAGGCGACGACATGAAGACAAGAAATTCTCCTCGACTTGTTCGATGTAATGTCGTGTAACGTGTAGTCAACGTTCACTTTCAGCCTGGGGTCCACAAGGACACTATCGGTCACATTCCAGGAACTTCCGGTCCATACCATCAACCCGCGCCTTGGCGACTGCAGAGAAGATGATATCCTGGACCATAGCGACGTTGTCGGAGCTGCTCGATGTTGGAGGTCTTCCAGATCAAGAGTGCCGGTCTCCAGGTAGCTGTCCATGGGTGACTCCATACAAGAAGTTTCGCAGCTGTTTGGAGGTGACGTGAATTCCATAAGCCCTATTCAGTTCTGCGATTGCACGTGGCTTATATTTAAGTGTACATGACGGTACATGAAGGTGATGGACGAGGGCCTGCTTCTGGTTATCCAGGAACATCTTGTCCCCGGTAGTCGCCAAGTTTTCTCTCTGGGCTGCGTATTCTTTACCGAATGTGTTTCGGGCGAAGCGTCTTTTTTTGCCCCTCCCCCTCTACAATGCTTCGAAGAGCACAGAACCGTCCTACGACGCTACAGCTAACAAAAGGGCGGTAAACGACCATGCAACCTTCCTTGTGTGGGTGCTTCCCGAATAAAGAACAGGAATAAATCACACGGTCTGATAGCGCTACCACACCTTTCCACCTGACGAAAGTGGGGCAATCTCTGCGGGATCAAACCGGGCTATAGAATAAACGGGGCTTTCTTTCATTAGATTGTCGCGAATAGTGCCCTTAACCGGTTAACTGCAGTCCTCTATGCAATGCAAAACACAATACAACACAGTAGCAGTACCGGCCTTGGTCCCATTTGACAGGAAGATCGCATGAGATTTCAAATAAGGCAACCAAAAATAAAAGAGAAAACATTGAGAGAAATACTCACCCTTGCTTCGTTATCCGATATAGCTGTATTTGCCATACTTAGTTTGGTAATATGATCACTCTCACAGGCGGCAGAAATTAATTTTGTTATTTGTTCCTGTAAGTGAAAACGATGAATTTTGAACTAGTGGTTACAAAATGAAATCGACCCAAGCACCAACCTTTGAAATCCGTTTCATATTGTTTATATTCACCTCCTTCATCTCTTCATCACTCTCTTCGAGCCGCCTTAATAAAGAGGAAACTCATGCTTGATCGAAGAAAATTGCATCACTATAAATTACATTGTTAGCTAGGCATTGTATAAGGAACAGAAAATTGAACTGATATTTTTCAAGGATGCTGAAGTGGTGCAGCTGTGCAGCTGCGAGGGCACGCTTACCACGCGCATCAAGCCTTTCACCCTTGGTAGATTCTGTGAAGATAAGTACATTGCCCTAAACCTTTGATGAAAGAAAATTTTATAAGAAGGTTGTTGTATAGAGGAATGAACTCTGATAAAGTGTGATACTGCGCACCTCTTTTGAGAGCGTATTTAAGAGAGGTGAGCGGTAGGGTTGAGTTAGTTTTTGTTGTGGTCTACTCGCCAGATAAACTTTCTGTGCGTATCGTCTACTTCGACACTCCCAGAGACAACACAGAAGTCAGGGATTCAACAGTGGCGATCAGGATCAGCACTCAAGCAACGAAACCAAGATTCCCCAAAGAAGAAGTAGAACAGAAGCCCAGGACCAGGACAAAGCAAGACAAGGATTCTGGTCACAGCAGAAGAACCAGTGTCTATAGTGCAACGAAGAAGAATCAAGGACTCTTCGTGCAGGATCTCCTTTTATTCGACTGTGCAGAATACTAGCCGTATATATCTGCTCGCTATTTATCTATCTATCCGATCTATCACATTCTCAGCGAGAACCGGACGAGGACCGAGCAGATAAGTTTTTACTCTTGCTCTGATAGAAGTCGGTTTTCCTTGTTACCTGCACAGTTGGATTGTAAGGCACGTGGTCAGGATCGGATAACCAGCAGCGTGCCAGCCAAGCACAAGTTATCGACAGAAGTACAGCCAGCTCACCGGACAAGCACATCGACACTTGAAAAATGGACGTGACCACCATCTTGACCATGTTTAGAGAAATTATGGACGAACAGAAGAATGTTATCGCCAATGTTATGAACGAACAGAAGAATGTTATCGCCAAACTGCTAGATCGCATTCCAGAACGCGGACAGGGAGATTGCAAGCACGGGACGGAGCTAGCATAGGCAGTCGGCCAAAACTTGATGGCAGCACTATGAGCTAACCGCATTGAAAAGTTTGTGTTCGAGCGACGCCGGATGCAGCGACATGGTTTTTCTCCAAAATGGTTTTCTAAGGTAGCAAAGTGATGTGTTCATGGAAGACGCAAAGTGCAGGCTTTTCTGAACGTAGCACAGTCAGAATTGGCTGTCTGCGAAAAAATTGGATCCCAATATCTTTGGCGAGAAGTACCCAGCGAATGTGGCTGGCCAAAGAGATGTGACGGAAATCGGGTTCACCGAGACGGTGGACATACTCAAGCAGCTGTTTGATTTCAAGTCGTCATTGTTCACCACGAGATATCAATGTCTCAAGCTAGAGAAGAGCCAATCAGAAGACTTCCTCACGTATACCGGTCGTGTGAATGAATTTTGCGAGAGAGCAAAGATTCACGAGCTAGACTCGGACGGAATCAAATGCTTGCTGTGGATTTTCGGATTGAAATCACAGCAGGAGGCAGAGATCAGGCAGAGGCTGATCACAGTTCTGGATAGAGACCACAAAGCAGGCAAAACGGTCTCACTGCAACAATTGCATCAGGAGTGCGAAAACTTCTTAAGCCTTAAGAGAGACAGTGAAGTTGTCGCCGGAACTATGAAACTAGTGGAAGCCACGTCCCGTCCAAGAAGGCTGGAAGGAAATAGCAAAAATGGGTTGAATGTGAAGGCCAACCATCGTGCTAAGTGGAATGGCCAACACGAAACCTTGGTTCTGCAAGAAGTGCAGGAAGGTCGGTCACAAGGAAAGGTTTTGTGACACTTTACGACAAAAGAAGACTGCGAGTCGCACAGAGGCGACGCAGAAAACTCAGCATACTAAAGAGAAGTTCTCGGGGAACAGAAACAATAGAGGTCCGAGAAAGCAAGTACGAATCGTCAAGATCGCAAATGCAGCAGTTCAAGCCAACTCTTCCCGTGTGTACATCGACGCTGTAGTGAACAACTACTCTGTCAAATTCCTTCTCGATACTGGATCAGACATCACGTTACTGAACGAGAAGATTTGGAAGAAGATGGGCTCCCCAGCATTGGAGAAGACCAATATAGTCGTGAAAAATGCAAGTGGAGATACAATGAAGATATATGGAAAGCTTAAATGCAAGATTACCATGAAAGGTGTCAACACTGAAGGAGAAGCCTATGTGACGCCGCATAGCTCACTCTTGGGTCTCGAATGGATTCGAGCAAATGAGAATTTGATGTACCACATAGAAATGATGGCTGAAGTGAAGGCCAACTGCAACCCCAGACGTAAAGAAGAGTTGAAGAAAACGTTGAAGAGAGGAATCAGAAACCTCAAAGGGGAAGAGAAACTGTCAGAGGATACGTTCAATGTTATACGGCAAGCATACCGAACCACCCCACACAGATGTCTTGAGGACAGAACTAAATCATCGACATGGTTGTACGCCGAAGAAAATCGAAGGAAAATAAAGGAACAATAACTAGATAAAGGAGCGGTACAAGCTCGCAGGAATTCCCAAAAGGGAGATGACGTGTACGCCCAGAGTGTGGAAAGCCCCTACGCTTGCAGCATGGAAGGCAAGCGAGTGTGTCGCAAACGACTTCGGGAGGGTCAAACTATGCAGATCGTTGAAGGAAGGCTGATGCGGAAACTCGCTAATCAATTACGGCACAGCAACACAACCGCAAACTGGAGATGTGAAGACAAATCGTTAAAATCCTGCTCGACGTGTTAGAATTGGATGACAATCGGCTAAGAAGCAGCGACGAGGTTGCTAGTGACTTGGACGTCAACACCGCTATACCGTGCTCTCCAGAACCATCAACTGCGACGATCGACTAGAATACGAAGACCCGTGAAACGATATGGCATTGATGTGTAGATTCAAATTATGAATGTTTTTGTTTCCCTTGTAAGTAGAAAGACAAATATTGTTGTTCAAAACTTTCCTTGTCTTTCTACTGGGGGGAGGTGTTGTATAGAGGAATGAACTCTGATAAAGTGTGATACTGCGCACCTCTTTTGAGAGCGTATTTAAGAGAGGTGAGCGGTAGGGTTGAGTTAGTTTTGTGTGTGGTTACTCGCCAGATAAACTTTACTGTGCGTATCGTCTACTTCGACACTCCCAGAGACAACACAGAAGTCAGGGATCCAACAAAGGTTTATGGTCAAGATAAAGAAACCAAAGCAGACTATTATTAAAGGCACGTTCCGCGATAAACTAAGGCTAGGTTCTCATAACCGTGCACGACGGTCAAGCAGGCAACGTCAGAGGCTATACCGCTTTTAAAAGTTGAAAAACAGCAAGCAAAACGCAGCGCGCTCAGGTTTTAGGCCCATTGGCGCCCGATAGGCCCATGCCGGCCTCCAGTGACCGTGTCGTTGTGAGACTGCCATTGCGCTCTCTCGCCCGTCGTTTTCTGGCCTCTCTCGTCTCTTATCAGTGTATCGCCGCCTTTTGCAATCCACAGTTGATCTTGACCACCTTACGCTCGTCCGTGATCATGATCAATTGAAATAAAGAGGGTCTTATTGCGGGCGCTTTTTCGTGGTTCCTTCTCTTCAATAAGTCAACAATCACAGGGCAATTCTATTTTTGAACTGTATTACCTATGAAGTGTGGTCGCGGGAATTGCCTTTAAGTATTAGGTTGTCCCAAAAGTTCGTGGGATTTTCGAACATTTTTTCGAACTAAGTATATTCTAGTGGGAAGCAATTCTGATCAACTGTATATATGTCACCTTCATTGGCAACTTGTTGCCAATCACTACGCAATGTGTGGTTGCCCTGCTTCCAGAAGCCTCTTAGTTCTGTGCCCAGAAAGGCAGCTGGGTCATTTTTGAGGTACTATCAAAAATCGTATTTTTTTCCCAAAGATGGCCGCTGTGGGATTAGTTTAGATGGCGATCGGAAAGAGCTAAGTCAGGGCTACACGAAGACTGTGGTGGAATTCCCCAGCTAAGCTTCGGGATCTCGAGCAGTGTCGTTTTCCAAATGTGTGACCCTGAGCTGTGGTGGAGTAGGCAAACATTGCTCGGTTGTGGGACCAAATGGTGGGGATTTTCATCCCCCTTTGCAGTTGATTACAATAGGGTTCGTAGGTTACCACAGCGCTGAGAAGAAGAAATTCCATTATGGGAAGGGAGAAAGAAACCCCACCACATACACAGTCTCACCGCCCTACTGGATTGATAGGATTGCGCGATCGGTTCTGCCCTTTCTGGGGGATCTAGCCGCTGGCGCTCCCGGGAGTGATTCACCTAGAGGCACCCACTCCATATCCAGTTACAGTGCTGTTCAACCAGCCCGTACAGCGGAAGCGGGAGAAAAGTTGTAGACAGTACCCACATGTGCTCCCCTTGGAGTACTGGTCAACTCATGAGAAAAATTTTGACCGAACTTCAGAACTTTTCTAAGGGAGCGAGGCCCTCTCTCATTTGTGCTTTGGGACCAGTCAAGTGTAAGGACTAGATAGCAAGTTGATTTGTACGAATTGGTTTTAATCAAGGAACACAGGTCCAAATCCAAGGCAGGTGGCCTCCTTGGACGAAGTTTTTCACCCAGATAGAAGTCACTAAAGCGGAAGCAATTGGGCCATTCCAAAGCCGTACTGTGGAAGGTAACATCAAGATCTAAATAAGGGAAATGCCGCTTATGGCTCCAACCACGTTGTGGCTTGGTAGAGATTCATATAGCGAAGTGTGTCGAAAATGATGAATTTCAATTACCGTTTTTCATATGAGAACAGCGACTGCGAGGGACGGTGAAGAAGCTGTGGAATGCTTACCTAACACACTTCCCATAGACCACATAACTGGATCTCGAAATGGCTGCGGAAAGATCTGATACGAGATTCAAAAAATGTCCACGAACTTTTGGGACAACCTAATATTATTATTAAGCATTACTATGTAGAATTATTAGACTATTTATACATGGTTTGTCCCTTGCAATTTATTACACGGGCCACATCGCATTCAGTAAATCACTGAGATTTTGAATGGAAGTACATAGAATGTATGCATTGTTGCACAAAAGGAATGATGTTGCACGGCATAAATTTATCCTTCTTCTTTCAAGAATACTGGACGATTAAGTAAATAAGTTAAACTAACTAAATAATAAAGATGTAAGTCATCTAACTCACTTGATGCATTCTTCAACATCGGTGTCATTATCGGGCTCATCCGGGGTTTGCTTTGGCTCATATGCTCGGATGATACTAGTGAACGTCGTACCCGTACCGTCATCTTGTTGCTTTCCTTTCAAGGCATTATAGTACTGCGGCTGGTTCAGAATATTGTGCATACCTGAATAAACCTTCTTATGTAGTTATCACAAGAATGCTTTATGGGACAAAAGTCGTGCCCCAGGCGGGAGTCGAACCCGCACCTCACGCTTTCCGGGCGAGTGCGCTATCCGTTACGCCACCAGGGCCGCTTTTACCCTCTCAGCTTAACGGCTTAGCCTTACAGCACTCACACGTTTAACTTGGTGAGCCGGTCAGCCGTAATCGTTAGATAAATGAACCGCTAGGCCGAAGGCTTTACAAGTTTTTGAAGCTGTTTTGTTATGATAACTGCTGTTTAACGCCGCAGTTCGCGTTCCGAATTCATTGCCGATATCTAACGATTACGGCTGACCGGCTCACCAAGTTAAACGTGTGAGTGCTGTAAGGCTACGGCATAAAAGCCGTTAAGCTGAGAGGGTAAAAGCGGCCCTGGTGGCGTAACGGATAGCGCACTCGCCCGGAAAGCGTGTGCGGGTTCGACTCCCGCCTGGGGCACGACTTTTGCCCATAACTCAGCATTCTTGTGATAACATTCGGAACGCGAACTGCGGCGTAAAACAGCAGTTATCATAACAAAACAGCTTCTTGTGTATGTTTCACCAGCGCAACAGCTCATCATAACTAACATAACTGCTAACATTAAGCTGGTATCTAGCGAAGCCCCATCTCAAATTGCTTACCAAGGATTCCGGCAAGATCTACGAGATCTCGTTCAGGTGCGCCGTCCAATGCTTCATCAAGATCATCGTCATCATCTAGATCAAGTTCGATCGGCATCTCCATCCGAGCAATTCTGGACGCTGGATGTTCTTCTGATGTTGTGCCATCTTCAGCAGATTCACGACCACTATCACCTTCCCATACTTTGCCTGCAATAGGAGAAATCTTGCATTACAATATCAGTTCTAGCAAAGAAGTCACTTACAATCAAAACATACCGCGTTTTGTCCCTAGTGAAAAGGGCACCACATCTTCCCAGTCCTTTTCGTTTTTTGCCTTCTCTTCTAGATACTTCAAAAGATGATCTCTTTTGAAAGGACCGGTTGGAGGTTTCGTCGTCTGATCGCGACAACGCTGCGATGGAGGCAGCATTGTATTCTGAACAAATGATTGTAGAATTTAACAGAAACGAAGACCAACAAGTAAAGCATAAGGCTGTTGCCAGGGCCGAAGTATGTGGTGTAATGTCGAATCGAATCGACAAGAGGCATATAAAACTGCATTACTCATTCGCCTGTTCAAAATATTCGCTCCCGTCCCAACGATTCCACTGCCTTCCAACTGTTTCTTGTCAATACTACCTCCAGTGGTATGTGTGGATAACAAAAAGGTACGTCTGTATTAATAGGTATGAAAACAACATTGCCCATAAAAGTATACTACCTTTCCCAATTTTAGAAAAAAAATCAGTATTCAAAATAACCAGAGGGTGTAGATACTTTTCATTAGAAATTTGAAACTTTTACAGCTAGTTATCACTCAATCCAGATCTCTGTAATGCTTTCTGAACAATTTTCCGATGAGAAAAAACCAGATGCTTTATGGTGGTTAGAACAGCGTACCGGAAATTCTATGCAGCACACTCACGAGGGTGGCACTAGTGCAACCACTTCGAAGGAAAAAAGACTCTAGCTCTAATCTAATGTAGGGCACTCGCACTCTCGCCGTAAGTGAATGAATGTGAAGATGTTTCCTTTTCGTATGTTACAAGATTAATCGCTTTATTAGTAGGCCTACGTTTCGGCGTCTTCGCCTTCGTCTGAGCCTGAAATGGACAAAAAAAACAGATGTAACTTGCCCGCTCAAGCGCCTAAACAATCTCAAGACAATTTCCCTAGACTAGTAAAGCATCCAACGATATCAATCAATAGTATTATGGCTCACCTGATCAGCCGCCGCGATGCGGCGTCGACCGTCCTGTGGAACTGAAGTAGCTAATACTATTTACCCTCCTCGACCTCACGGTAGATCAAAACTTGCAAAGGTCGAGAAAGGGTGCCAGCTCACGCGTTATGGCCACACACTCTCCCTTTCTATCTCATCTGAGGGTCCTTTTTTTGAGGGTAATCCAGAATGCTTCCAATGTCTTATGTGCTGTAATCTCGACCTCCTGCGCTAATATGGTCACCGACACTGCCTTTCATTTCCGATCAATTGAGTAAAGCAGTTCGATCATACAACACCGGTGTGATCTTCTTCTTCTTCTTCTTTCTTCAGCGTTTGTCCCGCTTGATCGCGGGGTCCGCTCTTTTGATACAACTACGCCACTTATCCCGATTAGATGCCTGATCAGGGGTGGATGCCGTGGCCTATTTCAGTCGATATGGCAACCGTGTCGAGCCACGCGCTGTTCTGGACGCTCCCTTTGCCGCTTTTCCTGGTACCCTTCGAGTTCGAAACAGTATATTCGCGGAACCAGAGTAATCAGCGCTTTGGCGGCGAAGTACGGGCCCATACCAATACAGAAGCCCGGTTTACGCATTTTTCCGTCTTATGGGGGCTAACAGCCATACTTCTTACCGCATGACATCAATTACACGATGCGTCGCGCTCGCGTGACGCGGACCCGCCGTACCAGCGCAGCAATACTTGCAATCTCCATTACCGCAAGGCGAGCCTCAACTTGATTTTGTCGAACGGCGCCAGCCACTCGGCACCATATAACGCGACAGGTCGGACGACAGTACGATAGATCTTTCGATTTGAACCGCTCCGGCATTTTCTTGTCGCGAAGGATCCCGGACATGGATCGCCACTTAGACCACGCGGCACTCACTCGTGCGCTCACTTCCGAGTTCAGACTGCCGTCGGACGCAAGTGCTGATCCGAGATACTTGAATGTTTCCGTGCGCTTGAGCACCGTGCCATCGATCTTAATGGAGCCCGTCTCATTTGGGTCAGTTGTCAGGTACTCGGTTTTGTTGACGTTCAACCTGAGTCCAAACTTAGCCAGACGCTCGGCCCAAGCTTGCACCTGCTGCTGTTCCAGTGCGCTCTTATCTTCACAAGCAAGCATCACGTCATCAGCGTAAAGCAGGGTCCATGGCACTTCTTTCTGAAGATCTCGTGAAATGGCATCCATGACGGCCACGAAAAGAAGTGGGGAGAGCGCAGAGCCTTGATGTACCCCGACGGTGATGGAAAACTCACTGAGAACCACCCGCGTATGTAAAGCGAACTTGGCTCCCTGGGCATGAGTAAAGGATGCGCACCCACTCAATGAGCTCTTCGGGCACGCCGTGCCGCCTCAAAGCGTACCATATAACATCACGCGGCACCCGATCGAATGCCTTCTCCAGGTCTAGGAAGGCTACATGCACGGGCTTTCGCTTCTCACGGTGTTTCTCCAGCAGTAGGCGAGCGGCATGTATAGCGTCGACGGTGCTACAACCCGCCACGAAGCCACACTGATTGGTGGAAAGCTGGACGATATCACGGGCGTCAATAATTCACTCAAAGACTTTCATGGTGTGTGAAAGGAGGCGAATTGGACGATAGTTTGAG